CAGTTCCTCGGGTGATCATAAGCCGAAATTGTTCAGGCATCTTCTCCAATATGGCCGGTACAACAATAGTGGAATACGATTCTTCTCCCACGCCTAAGGATTTCAACGCGCGGTTGTGCGCTTCGCAGCTGTCATATAACTTCCGCAGCCTTTGAGTGTCCCTTTCTCTAAAAACCGCAGGCAGTTGAATGAGGTCATTCATATGTGTGCGTTGAATTGCACTTCTTTTCTCGAATCGTTTCTTAAGCAGATCCACCGCGCACTGATAATTCCTTGCTGTTAATGACAGACCAGCGATGGTCGATTTTGCCGGCCCTTCAAGGTATCCGCGTAGATATGCAAATTTGTCTACGTCCGACAATTGATCATTGTTATCGATCGAACTCGAAAAACTGTCCCAGAACTCTGGCCATTCGCAAATTTTCCCCCCAAAGTTTTTCAACCGTAACTTTGGTAACTTTGCTCTTATGATTTTGCCCGTGCTTTCAACCGATGTTTGGCTTTCGTTCAGCATCTCATTGTCATTGATCGCCACGGGTTTTGTCGTTGTCAATTCTAATTTACCGAACGCGTTGTCCATTTCAAGTAAAAGGCGTTCAAGTTCTGCGATTACTTCGTCTGCTTCTTCTATCTCCTTTGCCATCAATTCATCCGCCGCTTCTTCTTTCGACTCGCTCAGGGCATCGATGATTTTCGTGTCAAGTTCTCTTAAGACTTTGAGCTTTTCCTTCAAGGAGCTTTGACTCTGTTTCAGCCACACGACGTCTTTCTCTGGACTCTCATCGCTTAACTTAGCGATCGCTTCGACTATCTTTGCCACAAGCTTCTTCGTAGACGACCTTTGCCCACCTCGTACGCGTCTTTTCTTAGCTAGGTCATCCATGTGTTCGATCTAGGTCGTTGTGCGGCGACTGCCATGCGAGTCTAACTAACGTTTCCACAATCCGCTTTAACTATCCAGCATACAATCCGGCTCGAAGGACCACTGTGTTGCAGAATCTTTCGTTTATTCTGCCTTTCTGGTTCATCAAACGTTCACACTCGAAGGGACTGTATATTCTGATTTATTATCGATAGATTACATTTCATTTTGCTATATACAATGGGTCATTATTTGGTATATCCCTATATCATATTACAATTACTAGTTAGATCACATTACCCAAATCAGATATTTTACATAAAGTTTTACTACATATTAACTCGCGCTCCGTGGACTGGTGTTCTGCGCTGGGAACTTACGACAAAAGCCATAAAAGTCAAGCCAACAGGAATTGCTGCATTTGCTCTGCATACTTCAGAAAAGTAAGAATCATTACTGGAAATTGCACCAACATATTGATTTCTGAATGTCGATGACTCTTCTTCAGTCTTTAAAAAAGAGTCAAATGTACAGCTATTATTTGCATTAAAACAATAATATTTTTTAATTTTTTAAAATATTTTTAACATATCACTAGAAGGTTTGCTTCAATTAAGATCTCAGTTTAAGCCACATTACAGTACCTGTCATAATAGCCATTTATTAATTTGTTTCTAGGGATTAGTAAAATTAAGTAGACATACTATTTTGCAGTAAGTAACAACTTCCACATTGACCAGCATAATTATGCACCTACATAAATGAACATGCCCTTTCCCTAGAAAATCTGCAAAAACATAACTATTGTTATGTGACTAGACAGTACCAGAGTCTCAATTGATAGGAGGCAAAAGAAAATATTCCAAGCTTAGAATTAAGATTGAATTTCTGAACCCACTGCTGTAATTAATTGTAAGATGGTAATTTGAACAGCATAAAAATAAGCTCAGTTCCAGGCTGGGCATGCAGCAGCCACTATACTACCACTGCAAGCCACAGTACCAACTGTAGTAATTACCTACTGACACAGCCTGCCCTACATATATTTTTTGACAAACACCAGTATTTTACTTGTTAGTGGGGAGCTCTGGAACTTAATGGGTTAATCTATATACTCTGCACATATTTTACCATATCTAGTTGACTTTCATCTTCACAAAAACTACTTGCTCCTGAATCTGGTAAGAATATAACAAAGTTAATACATTGCAAATCAATAAACTTAATTGACTGTGATAGAATAGTACAATATAAACTGTACTTTCTTGACAAGCAAGACCAGAAAGTTTACTGTTAGCATGAAACTGAAAAAACATTATAAATAAAGGATAAAAGCTATGGTGTAATAATGTACAACATAGGACTAATTAAAATATTTTAGATTTAATAGAATCCGACTGTCCATTTAAGCGAGGCTTTAGTTCTTTAATGAAAAGCATTTCGAAAACCAGACAGTCAAACTTATTTCTGCATTTTTGAAGAACCGGGAACCTCCAAAGCAAGTCATCCAAAATCTGTCCATGCGCTAAAGCCTTGTTTAAATGGACAGTCGGATTCTATTAAATCCAATTTAATCTCTTAACTGATCTTTACATAGATTTACTGTAAATAACAATAAAGGTATACATGCTACTATATTACAGAATATACTATTTAAGACATGAGTAAGGAGTGTTTCATCGCATACAAAACATGACGCGAAGCAGAGTGTTTTATACGTGATAAAACACGACCTACGAATGTTTTAAATGATTTAAAAACGAATCCATTTACTTATTAACTGGCGAAAAAATTTTAAACATAAACCGTGTCATTTGTCAAAGTCGAGAAAATCAAAGCTAAAATTTAGCTATGCATGCAATTTAGATAGCATGATCTTTTATCACATATTAAACCACTGACACGGCTTTTCTTCATGAAATATTAATGAGTTTTGAAATTTTAATTTAAAGTTTTTACATATTACAGTGTACATGTATATAGTTGGTACGCACCTTCTAAATGCTGGGGTACTTTGCGTCTACAAAATGAGTGTCTGCGTCTACCACTTTTAGTTTTTGCATTTGGCAAATTAGAAAAATCATATTTGGGTCCTCCAACGTATTTAACTACATATTTTTGGAACGGTTCATCATTGTTTTCATTTGAATTATCCGCCATCTCGGATTTTGTTTTTTAGCTTAGTAACCTGGCCGTGGTTAAACTTGTTGGTTTTTGAACAAATTTTGTCTGAAATAATATCTGTGGAATAACGAGTTGCCCACGGTCTCCAGGCGTGCTTCAATTATCTCAAGTGGTTCAGCTTGTTGATAATTTGGGTAATATTTCCGGTTTGAAAATCAATTTTGCGAACTTTAAACATTCCTACAATCAACCTCGTGCTTCTCTTGCACTTCATCGCCGTTCCAATATTTGCCCTGTGCAGACATTACTAGACTATTTTGCGCGTCGCGGTTTATCCGATGGCCCTCTTTTTTTGCACTCTCGATGGGCGCGCAGTAACACGCAGACTATTTACTGAGCATTTGGCTTTGATTTTTCGTGCATGTGGTCTTGACCCTACTAAGTATAAGGGGCACAGTTTTCGAATTGGTGCAGCTACTTTCGCTGCGGAATGCGGTTTTTCTGACGCCCAAATCGTAATGGGTAGGTGGAAATCCGACCTATTCCGCAAGTACACTCGTAGTCCGAACTTATCTTCGCGACCTATGTCGCATCATATGTCGACATGAGTCATTATTGCCGTGCCTGGCGGGGGTTGACCTTGGCTGCACACTTCTTAGTTCGTACTTATTTCGTTATATCCCACATTAGTTGCAACTACGATAACTAGGATGAGACTCATTGGTAATCGGGCGCAATGTTGATACAGGGGTAAAGCTAGCGCTCCTCTACTTCATGTCACTATTTTCATATTGGCGACTCCGGTTGCAGATACTCGGCCGGTCAATGCAGGGGCACGACTGGTTGGAGATCTGTACCTTTTCCTTGCCGCGATTCTTATATGTGGGTTTCTTATATGCATGTCTTATATATTATTTGTTTTGCTGATTTTACAAGTCTGTCTGTGCAGGCGATTCGCCAGAATCTATCTATTATAATAACTATGAGATTAGTTTCAGGCGGCAGTTGTTATAGTAGGCAGGTGACTAATCCCGGCCAATCTCGTCGCTTGCATTCCAACAGTACCGGAAATACGTACAATGTAAACACGCTATGTACTCCACGTGCTTCTCGTGCGCATATTTATTATGAAATACACTTATTTTTTATGAAATAGACACGGAAATTAGTTGTTTCAATAAACAATACAGTATTTACCAAGTACCCTTAAGTTACAATTCTCCTTACATCGTCGTCTGCTGAAGTTACAAGTTGTTCTTATAAACACCGGTCTTTACTTTGAAATTATTCGACTGATTTTAGCGCACATTTTAAATCAACAATGTCGTTTAGCGAAAATCAAAAAGCAACTCTTTTAACTTATTTTGATAACGGTATGGGTTTGTTGGGAAGAAGTTTGAAAGCCAGATTGCTGCTGCGTCGGCAGAAACTAGTTTAACTGAAAAGCAAGTGAAGGTTTGTGTAAGCCAATTCAGGTCATAAATATTCATGTTACTGCCAAACATATAAATTAATGCATGTTATGATATGCATATATTCATACAAATAAGGTATGACTATTTTATACATATTCATACTATATGCAGTTTATAGACATGAAATAAAGCACTAAAGCATTATATATGTCATAACTTGCTAATGAATGCACTGTCAGTATAAAAAATAATGTATTGTCATTACTCACTCAGTAATCAATTAATTTTTTTTGTGTGAATTTAATTAATTTACAGAGCTGGATTGCCAAGCAGGCTCAAAGAAGAAAAGGAAAGGCAGTTAAAGTTCAAAGGGTCAAATCTTCTGAGGCAATAAAATATGCACATTCTAATGTTCCCCGAAAAGATCGCACAAAATGTGGATGGAACATATTTCAGAAAGAGTATATATGTATCATAAAAGATTATTGATCTAATAAATTAATGTTGTTTTGGGAATACAACTTTTAGAGGGTAAAAATACCTTAAAAGAATGTGAATTACCTAATTTCAACAAGAAAGCAGCAGCTAAATTTAGGGAAATGCCTGCAGAAGAAAAAGCCAGATATAATCAGTTGGCAGCAGAAGAAGAAAGTACAAATCTTACAGAGCTGCAGAAAACTAATAAAATAAGCAATATTTTTACAAAACTACGCAATAATACGGTAAATGCAAGATTATTTAAAAGTTCACAATAATTCATTAGTATTTTTTATACACTATAATGCATGATTTAATTATCTATATATAATATCTTGCGTAACTGCTCTATATGCATCTCTTTATGCCATGCATAACTGCTCTATATGCATCTCTTTATGCCATGCATAACTGCTCTATATCCATCTCTTTATATCATTGAATCAATAATAATTGTACAATGATACTGAATGGTATAATATTCTACACCTATTAATTGCAGGTTTCACATTCAATTTATAAATAAATTTTATTTTGGTGCAAGATACTGGAAGATTATGGATGTCACACATTAGTTATTGGTTTCAGAAAGGATAAATATTATATTGCTGAATCTGATTCCATCACCAATAAATTCAGTGATAGAACGATACAACAACTTGCCTCTTCTTTATTCAATAACAATGGTAATGACTGTATGGTATATGTGTTATGCCTAATTAAGGAAAGAATGTGTGCGTCTTGGTTCTCAATGACCTTGCTAATTAATCTTTTTTGTTAGGTTCGAAGAAAATACTAGGAAGTTTGCTCAAGATAATCAGCTGAGAAAGGATGTACAAAATCTTTTCAACACAAAATATAGTAAGTCACTGATCAACCGCCCCCCACTTAACGATCTTCCAAGGTCACTGAAATCTTATATGCACTATTTATTCATACAGGTAAAGCTACAGGGAAGACACACCTTTCCCATACAAAAGAAAGCATGAATTCGAAGTTGATGGTTTGCCTTCGGAGATTCCATTCCGAAAACCAAGCGGCTATGGCGTTGGTCGATTGAAGAAAATACTGGAGTCAAGAGACCACATCGGTATAATCCTGTTGGTATAACAGCTACAGATATTAGAATCAGTGCTAATTTGTTATTATAACAATTCATGAAGTTGGAATTACATGCCAATCCCGATATTATAACAACTACTGAGATCAGAATCACGTACCAATCCAGTTGGTATAATAAATGTTGAGATTGGAATTACATGTTAGAACAACTACTGAGATTAGAATCACGTACCAATCCTGTTGGTATCACAAATCCTGAGATTAGAATTACATGCCAATCTTGCTATTATAAAAACTATTGAGATTAGATTTGCATGCCAATCCTGCTATTATAAGAACTAATGAGATTAGAATCACGTACCAATCCTGTAGGTATAATCAATCTTAAGATTGGAATTACATGCCAATCCCGCTTTTATAAGTACTAATGAGATTAGAGTCACGTACCAATCCTGTTGGTATAACAAATCTTGAGATTGGAATTACATGCCAATTCAGCTATTATAAGGACTACAGAGATTAGAATCACGTACCAATCCTGTTGGTATAACAAATCTTGAGATTGGAATTACATCCCAATCCTGCTATTATAAGAACTACAGAGATTAGAATCACGTACCAATCCTGTTGGTATAACAAATCTTGAGATTGGAATTACATGCCAATTCTGCTATCATAAGAACTATTGAGATTAGAATCACGTACCAATCCTGTTGGTATAATAAATCTTGAGATTGGAATTACATGCCAATCCTGCTCTTATAAGAACTACTGAGATTAGAATCACGTACCAATCCTGCTGGTATAACAAATCTTCAGATTGCAATTACATGCCAATCCCGATGTTATAACAACTACTGAGATTAGAATCACATACAAATCCTGTTGGTAAAACAAATCTTCAGATTGCAATTACATGCCAATCCCGATGTTATAACAACTACTGAGATTAGAATCATGTACCAATCCTGTTGGTATAACAAATCTTGAGATTGGAACTACATGCCAATCCTGCTATTATAAGAACTACAGAGATTAGAATCACGTACCAATCCTGTTGGTATAACAAATCTTGAGATTGGAATTACATGCCAATCCTGCTATTATAAGAACTACTGAGATTAGATTTGCATGCGAATCCTGCTATTATAACAACTACTGAGATTAGAATCACGTACCAATCCTGTTGGTATAACAAATCTTGAGATTGGAATTACATACCAATTCTGCTTTATAAGGACTAATGAGCTCTGCATTACATGCCAGCCATCTTCGCCATGACAGTACAAAAACTTATATAATCATAAGTCATATAACATGAAGTATGGAACAGCAGCGAGGTGTCATGACTGTCATCACAGCAAAAACTGGTGGCGCATGCATCGCATGAAATTAAGATTGGTGAATGACATGTCGTGCTGCAACCTACAAACATGGTTGTTATCAAGTTCAAGCAACTTGTTCAAGTTCAAGTCACTTTATCAAGTTGCTGCGACTTGGTAGCAACCATGTTCATGGGGTGCAGCAAAACATTGTTCAGTCCTGTTTTCTTCAACCGGAAAATAGGCGTGTTGCGGTCTTTTTCATCCCAAAAGAAGTATGGTTGAACACTTGAGAAACCTTCACTAGATTTTAAAGGTTGAAGTAGCGGTGTGTTGTGTCATGTAAAGCCAAAAGACAGACAGTATATAAATCAGATCAACACACACGGTAACCAATAACGTACTGTACTCTCAAAAACTATATAGTTGAGGCTTTTTCTTCGCTAGTTTTGTCCTTTTCAAAAAGTGGATGATGCTCTTACCATAAAGAACTATTGTATTTACTTACGTTTAATCTGGCATCGATTTCCTTTATATCCAGCCAAACATTCACATTGGTACGTCTTTTTAAGATACAAAATATGACCAGAAAGTCAGCACAACTAATCTGACTTCCGCTAAAACGAAAAATGGCAACTTTTCATAACTAATCAAACTTGATAACTTTACTAATTTGGTATAGTATAAATAAAATATACTGAATAATATGAAAAATCGCAACAGTCTATTGCCGAGACACAAACAAATTAAACTTTTCTTGACACTTACGCTGAATTAAAAATATAAGTTTACAACTCTAGTTCTATTACCATGCAAATACCGTAAGTATTACTAGTAATGCCAAAATGCTTTTTTAATTGAAAAGGAGCCTCTTCAGTTAATTCACGAGGGGCTAGGTGCCCTACGTTCAAAGAAAAAGATGTGGGCGCTTGTTTTCTTATTGCAATATTGGACTGCAAATTGTTAGTTACTAGTAGTTACTATTTTTATCCATCTACCATCAGTTTTACTTTTTGATTTCAGGGAGAGCTGTCTTTGCAAAAAGATTTTTTGAGAAGGGTCAATTTCTCTTTCAATATCCTGGCGAACTAATCACAGCAAAGGAAGGGGAACAAAGAGACGCAGTTGAAGGCACAAAAAGAGGAATATTTCGATATTACTTTAAATACACTGGCAAACAGCTTTGGTAAGATTTTCACATATGTATTACATAGAATACCGAGCTTAGCATCAGTCAGAGGCAATATTACAAAAGTACGATAGGATGCCTTAAACGCCAATGCGGCCTTAGATGAAGTGAAATGAAAATTTTTTTGGAAAATAAAAATACACCTGCATATAATATATACAAATACTATACTATTGTACTATACCCTTAATATTTTACGAATTGATTAACTTTTAATCTTTTATCCGTACCTCGATGGCTTTCTACACGCGTGAAACGCTCAAATTGATTCTATATTGTTGAAAACAACATAAATAATGTCCTGGGGCCGGTTGTACAAAGGCTGGATAGCGCTATCCTGTGATTATTTACCGTTCTAAAAATGCTGAAAAGCAATAAAATTACCGCTTTGGAGCTAACAATTATTAAAGAGGATTCCCAATTTAAGAAAACGAAGTTTTAATCAAAGTTATGGGCAATTTCAAAACGATTGAAAAAACTCTATTCGGTGCATGGCGCTATCCATGCAGCCTTTGTACATCCTGCACTGAACACTAGGCCCGAGAAGCATGTTAGAAAGTGGGGGGCTAAGTAATAAATTTATAGATACCTCCTGCATCATAAATTGTTTGATTTTCTATTGTTCTTAAACGCGCTTTCCTTCGCGTTGAGAAAAATAATCATAACAATTAACGCTACTGTTGCAATGGCGACAACCTTGAGCAATCTTGTCCAGTCTATTTGCTGCTTGATGATTTATTTTATTATCCATTTCCTAGCAACTACTTAACTTTTAAACACCTTATAAATTTATATAGCTACGATGCGACGGATGAGCCAATAAGCGGTCCCACTTTAGGACGTCTAGTAAATCATGCCGGTAAAGACGACATATTAAACGCCAAGATGAAAGTGGTATCCGTAGAGAATATTCCTACACTTTGCTTATTCTCAGTCAAAGAGATACACACAGGTGAGGAAGTTCTCTACGATTATGGGAAAAAGATTACCCATGGCTGATGGAACAAGAAAATAAGGTATATATATAATACATATATACAATGTTAAATGTTAAAGATATAGTTTCACGATAAAATATATAAATTCTTCATTACGTTCCACATCACAGAAAAATATTAATTTTAATAATAATTTTATGATTGCTTCGAAATGAATACAAGAATGATGTTGTCACCATTCAACATCATTCTAGCGATCCTGGCTGCATATTCATGCAGTTATAATGGTTTCAATTTAACAATGTATAACACTATATTATGTAGCACAGCGAACTCATGGATATTTACTTTCTATGTCATTCAGAGTTCTAAAAGTAAAGAGGCTAGCGACGCTATCGAGAGAAGGAAAAAGGAAAAACACGTATGTAAAGTAACATTGTAAAAATTGACTAGGGGTGGTACAGCATAAACCTAGTGTCCTATTTTTATGAGAAATGTCTATTTCTTTCTGATTATTTTAGTGCAGGAAAAGAGGAAGGCTTGCATCGGCTGACAAAAAGGAGAAACAAAGCGATATCCAGGTAAGTTTATATGAGAAAATACCTATATCTAGCGCGATATAGGCAACAAATTTTGAAGGATTTAACAGTATACAGGATTGATTCATATACAGGATCAACACCTAGGGCATGCAGGTTGTACGAAAGCTGGTTAGCAGAGATGTAGCCAGGATTTTCGGGACGGGGGCAGCAACAACCTAGTATCTTATGTTTGTAACAAATGTCGTTTTCCTTATGTTTTTTCAGTGCAGGAAAAGAGCAAGGGTAACGTCAGCTGACGAAAAAAACAAACAAAGCGATATCCAGGTAGGTTGAAATAAGAAAATACCTATATCTAGCAATCTAGGCAACAAATGTTGAAGCATGACAAATGGTTGATACATAGCCATAAGGCAATTCATTACAGCCCGGGGATAAACTGGCAGGAAAAAATCGCAGATTACATTGACGTACTTTACGTAGTTCTGACCAGGCTGAAGCGATTACACTTAATATTAAATAACTCAAACTGAGCTGAAATTTCCGTTTATACGCTGAAATTATTTCATATATAATGCCTGCTTTGTTTCATTAAATATTAGCCCCGCTAACCAGCCGAATTGCGCCTTGTATTCACACCCTAACAATACAGGCAAGTGATCGAAATTTACGTTGTATTTCATAGAGTTCTGAAAATGCGAGCGATGCTAAAATAAAGTCCAGCAAGACAAAGAAAGCCGTGAGTAAAATTAGCATTGTGTGCATGGTCTAATAACCAATTTAGAAAATTAATCAATCGAGACCATGGACGAGATTTCCGTGCCGACGTAAATCGGATGTTATGAAAATGAATCGCCGAATTTTATTCACTTTTAATTTGAAACTAATTTCAATCACTTTAGGTTCGTTTTGAGAACATATTCCACAATGAACAAAAAGACGAAAAGGAAAACGAATGCAGTACTAGTAGTGAGGTAGGTTGAAAAAAAATCCTTAAACGCAAGTAACATTTAACCTAACGAGAAAATCAGTCCTTGACCCAAGTTAATACATTATCTTTCTAGGGTACTCTTTTGAAAAATAGCGAAAAAACCACAGATGGGATAGGTGAGTTTAAAAAGTGATGTTTGAAATTTCGCCTATACACATCTCTCTAATGCACAGATAGGGAGAAATTGTATTTATTTTCACAAGAATGATAAAATTAATTTTAGGCTGAGAATTATAACATTGAATACTTTTACTTCAAGTGAGTTTAAGAAGGGATAACAAGAAGGTTGGAGCGGGCAAAGTCATGAAAAATTTCAAGATGGTCCACAACTATACGTTAACGAATGGCTGGGTAGCCGTGTCAATTATCTCACTATGCCGAGATGACGTGCGGTGCTGGGCAGAGTATCCAACTCATTCGGGCAAAATTGAGGTGAATAGCTTCAGCGCATGGCCCGTAGATCAAATTGTGGATGAAAACGATGATGAGGTAAAGCATCATAATTATTAAGAAATTTGCAATTTCGAAACTCGTATGATCGCAATCTAAAATAGGTCATTTGCAACTGTAAAAATGTCTGGAGAAACTATATCCCCGGCGGTGATAAAATATAGTTTTGTTTCTGTATTAATAACCTGTTATCACTTCTTAGGAAAACATAAATGGCATTGATGGTAACGACGATGTGAAAGGTAACACATTTCAATCAGGAAAGAGTTTTCAAATTAGTTTGACTGGTAGATTTGTCATAAGATTTACATATCTACCGATGTCTATGAATTTAAATATATAATTGATTTTTTAGGTCGAGAATCTGAGGCATCTTTCCAACCTGCAAAACCAATTGTTTCTACTTCAGCTGGTCAAATTGTGGATGAAAACGATGATGAGGTGAAGCATCATAATTATTAAGAAAACTGCAATTTCGATACTCGTATGATCGAACGAGCCATTTTGTTTAGCATTCTAAAATAGGTCATGTGCAACTGTAAAAATGTCTGGAGAAACTATATCCCCGGCCGTGATGAAATTATAGTTTTGTTTCTGTATTAATAACCTGTTATCACTTCTTAGGAAAACATAAATGGCATTGATGGCAACGACGATGTGAAAGGTAACACATTTCAATCAGGAAAGAGATTTCAAATTAGTTTGACTGGTAGATTTGTCATAAGATTTACATATCTACCGATGTCTATGAATTTAAATATATAATTGATTTTTTAGGTCGAGAATCTGAGGCATCTTTCCAACCTGCAAAACCATTTTTTTACTCCAGCTGGTCAAATTGTGGATGAAAACGATGATGAGGTGAAGCATCATAATTATTAAGAAAACTGCAATTTCGATACTCATATGATCGAACGAGCCATTTTGTTTAGCATTCTAAAATAGGTCATGTGCAACTGTAAAAATGTCTGGAGAAACTATATCCCCGGCCGTGATGAAATATAGTTTTGTTTCTGTATTAATAACCTGTTATCACTTCTTAGGAAAACATAAATGGCATTGATGGTAACGACGATGTGAAAGGTAACACATTTCAATCAGGAAAGAGATTTCAAATTAGTTTGACTGGTAGATTTGTCATAAGATTTACATATCTACCGATGTCTATGAATTTAAATATATAATTGATTTTTTAGGTCGAGAATCTGAGGCATCTTTCCAACCTGCAAAACCAATTGTTTCTACTCCAGCTGGTCAAATTGTGGATGAAAACGATGATGAGGTGAAGCATCATAATTATTAAGAAAACTGCAATTTCGATACTCATATGATCGAACGAGCCATTTTGTTTAGCATTCTAAAATAGGTCATGTGCAACTGAAAAATGTCTGGAGAAACTATATCCCCGGCCGTGATGAAATATAGTTTTGTTTCTGTATTAATGACCTGTTATCACTCCTTAGGAAAACTTACATGGCACTGATGGTAACGACGATGTGAAAGGTAACACATTTCAATCAGGAAAGAGTTTTCAAATTAGTTTGAGAGGTAGATATGTCATAAGATTTACATATCTACCGATGTCTATGAATTTAAATATATAATTGATTTTTTAGGTCGAGAATCTGAGGCATCTTTCCAACTGGCAAAACAAATTGCTTCTACTTCAGCTGGTAAGTTTACGTAAAACTTGTAATATACAAAAATAGCTAGATTATTAAATTATCAGCAACCAAGTCCTGATCTGCATGCACATCTTCACGTTTTCAATTCATTTGGAGACACTTTGAGATGAAATTCAAATTATTTAAGATAGTGTTCAATCTTTATATCATCATGATTAACCTTATTCAATAGACGTTTTTAATGCTTCATAATCAATATATGTATTTATTTAACCACTGGACTTCTCTACTGGAACGTCTTAATAGAGCTGTAATTGATATACGCTGTACTGAATTATGACAATTCTCTTTTCTGTAGTGTACATCAATTTAGCACCTGAAGGTGCCCGGGTTTATGATAAAACTCACTCTTGCTTTTTCTGCGAAAAAGAATACGCGAAGATTGCGCGGCATCTGCAACAAGTGCATGGGGAAGAGAAAGAAGTGAAGGACGCTCTTCAGCATCCCGCAAACCATGAAAAGAGAAAAAAACAGTTTGAAAAACTCTGTAGAATGGGCAATTTTAACCATAATATGCGGGTGCTGGAGTTGAAGAAAGGAGAGTTAAAAGTGGTTAGAAGACCAACGGCCAACGATGAGGGATCAGGTAACCCTGAAAATTATCTACCTTGCAAATATTGCCATGGGTTTTTTCTTGGGGATGAGCTTTGGTGACACGCCCCAAAATGCCCGTTTAGGAAAGAAGACGAGAGAAAAGAAACGTCCAGATGTATGAAACACGAAGGACGTTTCCTGCTGGCTGCAGGAAAGCTTCCAAGCGGGTGCAGCAAAATGCTCTCGAAAAAGGTTCTTAAGATCATGTCTTACGACGTCGTAAGCACTGCCGTGCGAGGTGATCCCACCATCCTAACACTGGGAAGCAACATGATTGAAAAGAGGGGAGCGGAAAAGGCAAGTGAAGTGTCGCAGAAAATGAGACTTCTTGGGAGGGCTCTGATCGAAGGGAGAAAGTTGTTGGGGAACACGGAGGCCTCCCTGGAAGATTTGTTGAGGCCGCGGCATTTCGACACTCTGGTGGAATGCGCCAGAAAAGTTGGAGGGTACGAGGAGAACGATGGAACCACATTGCAAAAAAGATTTAAAGCTCCGGCAACATCGGTGCACTGCGGATACGAGTTGAAAAAGGCGGCAGTGATAATTCGTTGCAAAGCACTAAGAGAACAAAATTCTGGAAAGAAAGCGGAGATAAACGATTTGCTCCAGTTGTATGACGCGGAGTGGCATGACAAGATATCCAGGCCCGCGCTTGACCACCTTGCGTTAAAGAAACATAACGCTCCTCAACTTCTTCCAATTACGGAGGATCTGTTGGCAATACGAAAGCACGTGATAGAAAAAATCGCTGAATTGACAAGGAAAGTAAATGAGGAAGTCACCGTCGAGAGATGGAGAAAGCTGGCGGAGGTGTGCCTTACAAGGCTTATCATGTTTAATAAGCGAAGAGGTAATTACTTGTATTCCTGAAAGTTATATCTTAGCGTGGTGATTGAAAGGTCAATTAAGTTAAATCCTGTTCATTAGAGGTCTTGCAGGCTTTTCGAAACCAAACATTCATAAGAGTATTTCAAATAATTATTGCAGAAATACTCCTACGTATCAGGAGAAAAAATTTCTGGAGCCAGGTACAATGAAGACCCATCTGTACCAAGAATACCGCAAGTCAGCTAGTGAGGCTGGTGTACGAGTTGTTGGGGAAACATTCTTCAGCAAAGTGTTTGAGGAAGAGAAATACTCAGTGTTCATCCCAAGAAAAGACCAGTGTGATATCTGCACTGCAGCCAAGCACGGAAATATCAACCAAGATACCTACACTGCCCACATCATTGCTAAGGATGAAGCACGTGCCGAGAAGTCAAATGACAAGCAGGCAGCTAATGACAAAGTGTCGGTTTGGACAGTGAATGTCCAAGCAGTGCTCCTTTGCCCCAAGACCAAAGCAAGTGCCATGTATTATAAAACAAAACTGCAAGTACATAGCTACACCTTTTTCAACCTTGCCAACAAGGAAGGCTACTGCTATCCCTGGGAAGAACACGAGGGTAATTTAGGTGCAGAGGTCTTTGCCTACCTTCAGTACCAACACTTCACCAAGTTTCTAAAGGCCAATCCTGCTACTGAGAAGATTGTGGTATGGAGTGATGGCTGCGGCTATCAAAATCGCAATGCAATCCTTAGCAACACATACCTGCATCTTGCTATGGAATACAGGATAGTCGTCGAACAAAAATTTCTGGTGGTGGGGCACACCCAAATGGAATATGATTCCATGCATAGCACCATTGAACGAAAAACTGTGGTCGACATATATACACCCCGAGATTACTATGTAATCATGGAAACAGCGCGATCACGACCAGCACCCTATATCTACCACAATCATTTTATGCAGCTCACTGGAGATTATTTGAAATCGATAAGGCCAGGAAAGAAAACTGGTGATCCCACAGTTTTCAACCTCAGAGCGTTGCAGTACCACTCAAATGGTTCTATTCAGTAAAAACTTGATTTCCAAGCAGACACCGAATGGAAGGATATCCCCCAACGTGTTGTAGAGGCTTTGTTTCTATTACCAAAAACGTCTTTATTTCGACTGATTTCTTAAATATACTTCCCTCAATCTCAAAAGCGAAACAACAACAACCCTGCATAAATTAACATATTTTATCATAACTGTCATATTAATTTGTTCAAGTCTAGTCACTACAATACTCCCCCCCCCAGTGCAGAAACGAACAGGTAAGTTCACTGCACGACCAGAGCGTGTTCTGAATTGTGGTGTCGGTAAGAGCATTGTCACAGGCGGTGGTACCGGAACGGACATGGTCGACGTAGGTGTTGTGGATGGTCCCTCTCGAGGAGGTTGCTTCTTCATTTCTTCGTCTATGACTGCGGGCTTCAAACGATCCAGCGACACTGTGTCGTATACTCCGTTCTTGCTAATAGTATAATATTTTTCGTTGCGTTCGACAACCTGGAATGGTCCGTCATACGGTCACTGCAAGGCATCACGACGAACGATCACATGAGTAGTGTATTTTAAGGCGTCTGGGACATGTGACGGTCGCTTTCCATGATGTTGTGTCAGAACGGGGTTTTGCTTATGCATTGTGTCTCTTAGTCTGCCGAGGAACGATGTTGGATCTACGGGCGCAGTCTGACTCTGATGGAAAAATTCGCCAGGCAGCCGAAGGGTTGTTCCGTAGACCAGTTCCGCAGAACTGCACTGGAGGTCTTCCTTCCATGAGGTTCGTATTCCCAGCATCACGACTGGCAGCTCATCATGCCAGTTGGGACCATTTAGATGTGCCATGAGGGATGCTTTCAATTGTCGGTGGAATCGCTCGATAATTCCATTTGACTGAGGATGGTACGCTGTTGTGCGATGGCGCCCAGGAGATGCATAACGGATGACCACAGATTTGATCCAAATTGAGTACCACGATCAGACATAATGGTGTTGGGAACGCCGAATTGGGCGATCCATCCCGCTATTAATGCTCGTGCGCACAACTCTGTTGTCATATCCTTCATGGGGATAACTTCGGTCCAGCGAGTGTATCAATCGATGCATGTTAAGAGGTAAGAAAACCCTTGGGATTGTGGAAGGGGGGCAACAATATCAACATGAATGTCCTCGAAACGTCGAGCAGGTGGGTCGAATCTCTGCAGGGGGGCACTTACATGTCATTGGATTTTTGATTGTTGGAAGAAATGCAGGCTCGTGTCCATCGACGGACATCTCGATTTAGGCCACTCCACACGAAATGCGCCCGAATAAGATTATAGGTTGCACATGACCCTGGATGAGAAAGCTGATGAATGATGTTAAGCACCTCTGGACGGAGGGGTTCGGGCACGACCAGACGCGCATTGCCCTGGGATATGTCACAGAGTAAAGTGAGATTGTCCGAACCTTCGAGTGGTATGTCTACAAGTTGTAGGCTTGTGTTACTCGTCTTTAGGGCTTGCGTCTCCTGATCGGACTCTTGGGCATGCGCCATGGCACGGAAGTCGATCTCGGGGTAAGATGTGGCATTTATTTCAATTCTCGAGAAGGCATCGGCTACCGCGTTATTCTTCCCTTTTACATGCCGTAAGTCCGTGGTAAACTCCGAAATAAATGCTAATTGACGAATTTGGCATGGAGAACGTTGGTTTGAGGAGTTCGAAATCGCGTATGTTAAGGGTTTGTGGTCTGTGTAAACATGAAATTCCCTACCTTCGACAAACCAACGGAAATGGCGGATGGCAAGGTAAACGCCCAATAATTCTCTGTCGAATGCGCTGTATCATGTCTCCGCCGCTCACAGTTTCCGTGAAAAGAAAGCTATTGGACGCCACTCATGGCTGATGAACTGCTCAAGTACAGCCCCAACAGCTTTGTCAGAAGCGTCGGAGGTGATATTGGTTGGGGCATCATTCTGTGGATGAACCAACAATGTGGCCTTCGCCAGTTCCAACTTGCAGAAATTAAATGCTTCTTGGCACTCGGGGGACCAAACGTATGAAGGTGAGGTCAAAAGGTTGTGTAGTGGATGGAGATGTTCAGCGCAATGAGGTACGAACCGATGATAGAAGTTAAACATTCCAAGGAATTCGCGAAGTTTCTTCTTGTCATTGGGTGGTGGAAACTCACTAATGGCTTTAACGCGGATCGGAAGGGGTGATATACCTTTCGCAGTAAGGAGATGACCCAAAAAGGAGAGCTGTGTGTGCCCTAATTCACATTTGGCAGGATTAATTACGAGCCCATAGCGTTGTAAGCGTTCAAAGAGTTGACAAAGATGACTGCGGTGCTCCTCTGCTGTTGAACTGAAAACGAGTATATCGTCGATATATACAAACACAAAATCTAGTCCACAACAAACCTCGTCCATCAGGCGTTGAAAGGACTGGGCTGCATTTTTGAGGCCAAATGGCATACGTCGGAATTCGAAAAGGCCGAATGGAGTAACAACAGCCGTTTTTGGAACATCTTCCGGTGCTATGGGAGTTTGATGGTAGGCGCGGACCAGATCGATCTTGGAGAAAACCGAGCATCCTGCTAAACGAGCAGAAAAATCCTGGACGTGTGGGACTGGGTAGCGATCTGGTTTCGTGGCTCTGTTGAGGGCCCGATAATCCCCACAGGGACGCCAATCCCCGTTGGATTTAGGGACCATGTGGAGAGGCGAGGATTAATTGCTGGAGGAGGTCTGTATAGTTCCCGAAACTAGCATTCGATTGAACTCTGCTTTCGCCGCCATTGACTTCTCTGGAGAAAGGCGTCGGGCCTTTTCAAAGGTTGGGGGTCCAGTAGTAATGATGTGATGTTGGACATTGTGCTTCACAGTGGGTTCCGTGATAAGTGGTTTACACACCTGTGGGAACGCGGAGTATATGGTATCACACTCGTTGTTGATATTCGGGCGACATATCTGATTAAGTTGCAGGGGTGTCAAGGTGGAAACCTGTGCCGGTATGGTAAGAAATGTCTCAGTGTCCACTAAGCATGAATTAGCAAGGTCGACTAGCACCCGAAAGTGTCTCAAAAAATCAGCTCCGAGGATGGGTTGGCTGACGTCTGCAACAAGGAAGGACCATTGAAATCTGCGGTGTAGCCCAATGTCCAAAATGAGTTCCCGCTGCCCATATGTGGAAATGGTGGAATTGTTTGCAGCCTTGAGAGAAATGCCTTTCGGTTTGCATATCTTGTCTTTTCGTGTAGCTGGAAAGATGCTAACCTCAGCCCCCGTATCAATAAGGAACTGTATTTTCGACCGCTGGTCAGTCACATATAGCAGGCGGCTCGCTGGGCCCCCGATCACCTGCGCCATTACTGGTGACCGGGGCTGTCGTTTCCCGCTTTAGGGAACGAACAAGGTGGGCGGCATTTTGACGCTCGGGCGCCGAATTTGGCTCCTGTTTGACGATTGGAGTCGTTGGATGTGTTGGACGGCTTGAGAGATGTGGGTTCTAGGAGCTTAAGGACTTTATTCAGATCGGATCGATGAAATTTCAGCTGTTGGTGGAGTTTCAACTTGGGCGATACTTTGATGAGATTCTACAAGCTGGATCATACCATCTGCTATTACCGCTAGCTCTGCTAATGGCTTCCCAGGATGAGACAACAACCCGACTTGGACATTACTGGGAAGTCTCTGTAAAAACAATTCCCGTAAAAGGTCGCTGTCGGTGATACCGGATAACTGTTGTAGCTGGCAAAGTAACTGGGATGGTTTCCTGTCTCCAAGCTCTTCAGCATGTAAAACTTGATGTAGCTTACGACGCTTTGAGAGTGAAACCCGCTCGGTGAGGGCAGCCTTGAGAACGTCGTATGGATTCGCATCTGGAGGAGTTAAAATAAGATCGCGAACTTCAGTGGCTGCCTCTGGAGATAAGGCAGCAATGACATGAGAATATTTTGTATGCTGAACGGTTATTTGTTTAACAGCGAACTGGGCCTCTACTTGTGCAAACAAAAGTTCTGGGTCGGACGGCCAAAATGGCGGAATTTTGATCGAAATCGAATACGTTGCGATGGCGCCGTTCACAGTCGTATTAGAAGTCATAGCCACAGAATTATCGGTCGTAGAAGGAGCGTCATCCATCGTGGAGTCGTATCGTCGGGGTCACCAATGTAGAGGCTTTGTTTCTATTACCAAAAACGTCTTTATTTCGACTGATTTCTCAAATATACTTCCCTCAATCTCAAAAGTGAAACAACAACAACCCTCCATAAATTAACATATTTTATCATAACTGTCATATTAATTTGTTCAAGTCTAGTCACTACAGTGTCACCATCCCTGCCAAACTGTTTGGGTGGAAGCGCTGTTTGAGGCTCAGTTACCTATCACATTAAGAAAATACAATGATCTGCAATCGATGAAATCAGTCATTCCAAAAGATTGCCACCATTATTTTGATAATTTGCCTCATTGCTGACTAAACATATTCATTTACATATTTGTTAATTGTTTCTAATAAAACATGTAAATAAGTAAGCTAAAGTCTTCAAAATGCAGTAAAACGCAAATTGTAGTTCAATACATCAGCCAAACTGGTGAAAAGTGTCTGCTATAGTTAACTGTAAAATTGCCCAACTCACACCATTGTTATTGCAAAATTGCCTAAGTCATTTATATGGATTATGTTGTCACTATGGCAACTACTCATTACTCAGTCATATTTCTATTATCGTGTTATGCTTGTATTCAAATATTCAATAAAATACCTTTGACGTATGGGAATTAAACCAGTTATTTTTATTTTTCTCAAAAGCTTTAAAAATGAGTTAGGCAATTATGCTAAGAGGGTGACGGGATGCTCTTTTGTGGCTCCGTCATATAACGTTATCTATTTAAACTATATATAAAGCAGACTTTGGTTTTATTTTGGTAGCATTTAATCAATTTAGGGTCTTATATCTACTTTTAAAATGGAAAATAAGAAAATTGAAACACAATTTGACAAAATCGAACAGTTAATTAATAATTTAAACAAGTCGTTTAATTCCCGTTGCAAAGAGCTTGATAGCAAGCTAACCAAAGTGATTAATAGCCAGTCATTCCTTGCTGCACAGTACGATGAAATCAGTGGAAGACTTAACAAAATGGAAGAAGAAAAACGTTATCTATCAATCAAATTCAAGCATTTGACGAAATTGACTGGAATACTTAATTTGAATGGTGCGAAATCCACAGGACCTTATAGTATTCCTATAAATATTTTGAAGATAGTCAGAACTCTTGTGTCCAAACCACTTGAACTAATATTTAATATTTCTTTTCAAACAGGTATTGTACCTGACAAACTCAAATTAGCTAGAGTTATTCCAGTCTTTAAAGATGGATCTAAATTACAATTGAGTAATTATAGGCCAATATCTCTTCTTTCTGTATTTAATAAAATCTTGGAAACTCTCATGCAAAAGCGATTACTAAAATTTCTTGACAAATACAACATCTTATATAATAAACAGTTTGGTTTTAGAGCAAATCACTCTACTGAGCATGCAATTTTGTCTATAGTAGACAAAATACAAAATTCGATTGATAAAAGTGAATTTTCCTGTGGAATTTTTCTAGATTTTAGCAAAGCTTTCGATACTGTTAACCATCAAATTCTTTTAAGTAAACTTGATAACTATGGATTTCGTGGTATTGTGAAAGAGTGGTTTGCTTCATATTCATCAAATCGTAAGCAGTTCGTATCTATTAATAGTGATATATCTAATGTAGTTACTATCAGTTGCAGAGTTCCACAAGGTTTTGTGCTAGGACCATTATTGTTCTTGATTTATATAAATGACTTTAGTTCCTGTTCACTTATGGATTTACATCTCTTTGCTGACGATTCTAACTTTTTTGCTTCAAATAATGATTTAATATCGTTGGAAATATTTCTGAATGAAGAATTGGGGAAAATTTTTGTTTGCCTTTGTGCTAATAAACTTTCATTGAATATTAAAAAATCTAATTTCGTTTTATTCCATGCCAGACAAAAATTTATTAACCATTCCCTCTCCCTTAAAATTAACAATGAAGAACTTAAATGTGAGACTTGTGTTAAATATCTTGGCATACTCATTGATTCAAATCTAAGTTGGAAAAATCAAGTTAGTCATGTTTGCAATAAAATAAGAAGGAGCATTGGGCTTCTATTTAAAATTCTTTCTTATGTAAACCTTAAAATTTTGATTAATCTTTACTCTGCTCTGATTTATCCTTATCTAAATTATGCATTAATTGCTTGGGGTTCTGCATCTCAAACAGTGCTTAAACCTTTAATAATTCTGCAAAAGAAAGCTATTAGAATTATGACGTTCTCAAAATTCGATGACCACTCATCGCCCTTGTTTCGTGACACAAAAATAATTAAACTTGTGGATTTAGTCGATTTTCATATTAATATTTTCTACATAAATTTCACAATAAGGCTTTGCCTTCATCCTTTGACTGTTTTTTCATAAAAGTTAATGAATTTCACAACCACAATGCTAGACATTCTACGAAATTATCTAAACTTCTTCCAAAAATAAGAACAGATTACGGTCTTTCTAATATTAAATACAAAGGACCTTTGACATGGAATAATTTGGATAAATCCCTAAAAAGTAGCTCGATGGCTAAATTTAGGAGATCTATTTTGTCAACCCTAGTAGAAGAGTATTGATTGCGTGCAATTTGGTTTATTAGTCTGCCCAAGTTACTTTGCAGTGCTTTAGATTAGATATATTTCGTCATTTTCTTTCTTTGGTTTGCAATTTAATATTATCACACAATAGATGGCTGTGTTTTTTAGCCCTTATTTGGTTATTACAGGCATCTATGTACCATTAATTATTACAATATCACTAATTCTTGTAAATATTATATTTATGGTACAATAAATTTCTTATTTCTAACACATGAGGCTGCAACTGCAGTGATTATGTTTTTCACATCTATGTCAACCGTTTTAAAACCCTTCTTAACCGTCCTTTTCAGTGACCAAAAGTATTTTCTACTACTTCTGATCTGTGCTCGACCCAAACGATAGTTGAAGTGCTTGTGGCAACTGGCATATCAGGACGGTGAGGATATGGTTTCATGAGCCAAGGGAGTAATGGATATGCTGCATCTCCTAGGATTAGAGGTTTGGCAACTGTTCCATTGATCTGTTGAGTAATGTTTTCACCAAACAATCTCCCTTCAATACCTAGCTGATACAGATTAGAATTGGAAAAGTTGCAAAATAGATAATTATTGGAAAAGTCGCAAAATAGATGATTACTATCAACCACAGCTTGCATTAGGATGCTATGATATTTCTTTCTGTTCAAATAATCCATGTGATTTGCAGTTGGAGCAACTATCGGGATATGTGTGCCATCAATGGCCCCACAACACATTGGGAAACCCCATTTTTCTCTATATGTTTTAATTATTTCACCAAGCTGAACATCTTTCGGCAGAAAGACAGATGATGATTTCAAAACTTTGATTATTGCTAAGCAGACATCTCTCATGCAGTTGCAAACGAAAGCAGTCGACACGCCAAACAAATAAGCAATAGTACGATACTCGGCTGTGCCTGCTAAAAAATACAACGTTATAGCTAATCTGCATCTAGCTGGAACTGTCTCACATAGCCTTGTAGTCTTGTAAGTTATTTCATGCTTAATAGAGTCCACAAGGCACTGAATTGTTTTCCTTGAAACTCCGAAGTTCACATACCATCTCTATTCATCACATTCAGTTTGGGCCATTACAAACCACGCATCGCTTTTTGGAAGCATCCAGACATGTCGTTCCCTGAAATGTGCACTCATAAGTGCCAACAAAATACTCATTTTCCTTTTCCTTGCAATTCATTTCAAGAGAAATTTAAATGAATAATGACTCATTTGTTCAACAAAGTCAGATTTTATCCCAACTGATTGACTTTTTCTGGTTAATCCTAAAAGTTAAATAATTGGCTGCCATACTGCTAACGCTTATATCAGCGCATACACGCATGCGCCATGCGTCTTTCAACTGGATAAGCAACAAGAAGGCTCAGCTAACTATCCAGGCCATGCCAGTTTCTTGCCGTGCTATCAACTCCGTCAAACTTCGTCAAAATGCAAGTGTAAACGATCAGTGCTCAGTTTTCTTGAGCGGCACCCATGCCGATTTTTACCCGCGTAAATGGGACTGATATTTCCAGCTGGACATCTTCCCATTACCATAGGTTGACTTCTCCATATAAAGTTTTCCACAAGGCATTTACTACAAGCCTGAACAACCGGTAACCATTGATCCAATCCTCTTAACCTGAACCCTTGGATTTGCAGCCTTGCAGTTGAAGCAGAACTTTCCTAAAAACTCTGCAAAGGAATTGTAAAACACCAGGAACATTGGTTCATTGTATGGACTGGTGCCTTCATTGACACTATCACAAAAAATATAAATAATAATAGAAATATAGGTATTTAAATTATACCTTTATTTACAGTCTTCTTCAAATTTTACCAGTATTCTTATTAGGCCCCAATTACACTATACCGGATTGATTTTCATACCGGATTAGTTTTCACACCACAACCAGTAAAGCTCCGAAAATCTTCGCCGTTGTCATGGAATCAATGGCGATTTCCCGCCATACAAACCTATATAATATTGGGAAAGAATCAGCAAAACTGCAAAATGTCTGCCGTGTCATAGAAAAACTCCTTCACATGGACTGACTCCGAACTCGAACTGTTGATTGAGTCAGTTAAAATATTTGCTTCCAACTGTCTTTTCAAAGGCACAGATTGGGAAAGCGTTAAGTCAAAATACGAAAAAATTAGAGAAATTTTTGTTGAACGCTATGCAAAAATTGATGAAGATGGCGAAATCGAAGAACCAAATTCAGACTATCCCAAGTCAAAGTCCCTTGAGCAAATTACAAAAGAACGAATTGCGGCAAAGTTGAAAACAATTTGGGGTAATTTTAAGAAGGCAGTCGACAGCGGGAAAAGAAGCAGGGGAGGTAGCTTGAGGCTGATGACATATTATGATTTATGCCACAACATATGGGCAGGGGCCCCTTCGACAAAAAGTATCGAAGGTACATTCAGTATTATTTACTACAATTTTTTTGCTTTTTATCGCCGAGTATTGAATGATATTTTTTATTCATCGCTTCTATCGCATACTATGATTTATTTCCTAGTATAAAATAGTACTCTGAACAAACAGTCACAAACAGTCACCCAGTCACTGCTATTGAGAATATTTGTATTATTAACTATTGCATTAGTTTAGTTGATTTTAGCTGGCAATGCACTCAAATATGTCCTATATCAGTATTTACTCTGCTATTAAACAACAGATGACTATATACTCATCAGTGGTAGAATACTGCTAGTAAATGGGGTAAACGTTTATGTTAATTCAGGTGGAATTGATTCAAGTTCAGCCCATGAAAAGAACAACAAA